GCAAGCTGGGGAGGGCTAGCCTCCCACTAGTTCAAATTAAGTGGCTACACAGCCCTTAATTCGAACTACTTAATTTGAACTAGGCGTTAGTCCTCGTGGAATGAGGTTTACCTAGTTTGAATTAAGCGCTCCGCTAGTTCAAATTAAGTTCGAACTAGCAGTTTGTATGTGTAGCGCCTATCAAAGTTAATTCGACATACCAGAGTTAGTCCTCGTGGAATGAGGTTTACCTAGTTTGAATTAAGCGCTCCGCTAGTTCAAATTAAGTTCGAACTAGCAGTTTGTATGTGTAGCGCCTATCAAAGTTAATTCGACATACCAGAGGGTATGTCTACACTGCATTCCTCTTTTGAGAGAAGAATGCAAATGCGGCTGAGTGACATTGCAAATGAAGCGCGGATTTGAGATCTAGCACTTGTCCCATATGAAAAAGATGTACTGCTTGATATGGACTAATATGGAGAAGCTACCAATTGGGGAAATGGAAGATGAGTTTAAGCTCCTGCAGAAACTAACATACCTTCAGAATGTCCTTTCACAGAAGTCTATGCAACAGATTATTGGGGTCAAGGACAAGCCCAAAAATAATTCTCTAATGCCACACAAACAGCAGTGAGACCCGCACCTTATGAACTCCCCATGGAAGCCATTGCTCTGCTATTATGCAAAGAAGCTTGGGAAATTCAAATCCGTGCTTCATTTGCAATTTTGCTTGGCTACATTTGCATTCCTCTGTCGAAAGAGGAGTGCAGTGTAGAGATACACAGAGAGCGGTATACCCACAAGGGTGTGTGACTTGGTTGGAGAGCTGAGTAGCTGCAAAGCTTTTTAAGACTGAGACAGTCCAGGAACCCGCACTTGACGCTCGCATGAGGTGAGTGCTGACCCCGTTACAGGGAATCTTTAAACAGAAGCCTTTAGGGCGCCCGCCTTCTGTACTCAAAGTCAGAGTGGGGAACAGCCTCAGTAGGAGCACAGTCTTCTTCGAACAGGTCAAACCTTCTTTGAACCATCAAAATGCTCATTCGGGTTTTTAATGATGGAGTGTTAATTGTTTGTTTAATAATATCTTGCTCATACACAGCTCTTTATCGGTAGCTCTCAAAGCACATTGAAGAGGAGATCAGTGTCTTTATTTCCATCTTACAGAAGGGGAAACTGAGGCACAGAGAGGTGGCTGGAACTTGTTTGTGGTCATGCAGGGGACCAAAGGCACAGCTGGGCCTGTGTTTCTTGAGTGCCAGCCCATTGCTGTCTAGTAGGCCACACGGCTACCTCAATTAGCTCCTCCTGGAGCGCAGGAGATGCCGTTCTGGGGATGCTGTCTTGATGATTTCCCTTGAAAAGAGCATTAACAAGGGGCAGGCCAGGACCAGGGACCTATATGCTGAGAGCTAACTTAGCCCTTCTCTTCCTTCTGAAGGGATCGCAAGGTCCCCCAGCTCAGCTTTCAGAACCTGCGGCTTGTTTCCAAGGCATTTTCGTCTGTTACTCTAGGCCAGCGGTTTTCAAACTTCTTTTCTCGTGACCCAGTCGAAGAAAATTATTGATGCCTGCCACCCAACAGAATTTGACTAGAGAGCTCCAGAGTGGGTCTGAAGAGGAGAGCTTTGGGGTGTCAGAGGGGGCTCTGGCTTTGGGAGTGTCAGGGCTGAGGCAGGAGGGGCTTATGTTGAACAGCTCCCAGTCAGCGGTGCAACGGGGGCGCTAAGGCAGCTTCCTGCCTCTCCGGGCACCGCAGACCACGCTGCGCCCCAGAAGCAGCCGGCAGCAGGTTCCCAAGCAATGCGAGTGTGGCGCTAGTGCTCGGGGCAGGGGCAGTGCATGGAGCCCTGTGTGTTCCCCCCCCCCCCCCCATGAAGGAGCCAGGCCTGCTGCAGGCCACTTCTGGGTAACTGCCTTAGCACCTCCACTGAGCACCTGGTCCCCCTGCAGCAGCGAGACCGAGTGCCCGACATGTCACAAACCAGACCTGGGCCGTGCCCCTGGTTTGAAAACCGCTGTTCTAAAGGCAGCACTCAGCCAGGTGTGCTGAAAGGTAGAGACCTTGTCCTTCGTGTGGCGTATGCAGGTGCAAGTTCAGAGGCTGGCCGGCTAAAATCCCTGGATGCTGTAAGGTCCTCGAATGTGCATTTTGAGACCATCTTGCCTGCCTGTCTAGTTCCTTTGTTTGAGAGCCCTATCATTCACACACGCCCCTCCCTCCCCCAGGAATGTTTAGATCAGGTGTCGCCTCTGGCTCTTCAGTAAATCTTGCTTTTCACCCAGTTTTACAGCTGAGTAACTCAGGTCAAATGACTTGTCAGCAGTCACTCAAAGCCCAGCCTCAGCAGGAGGAGAAGAATGCAGGATCCTTTATGCTTCACATGCCTGAACCGCCAGGCGTTTTGCCGCCTTCTGCCTTCCTGCGTATTTCTCATGAGAACTTAGAGGCCAAAAGGCAGAGCAGGGACTGACATCTGAGGAGCAAAGGGGTTAGATGTGCTGACACACACAAAAAATAATTGCCTACCCAGCCTGCCTTGAAATGGGTGAAATGCCAACCAACATGAGCTAAACATAACTGGACTTGTGTTTACGTCTCTTCCTAAGGTGCCGTAACTGTCTGATTCTCTCACAGGCACCATTTGATCACCTATGGACCTGAATGTGTTTTTTCCCACACCATTTATAGAAAGATCTCTCAGCCCAGCAGTGCATTCCTGAGCTATATTGTAGCACCATAAAATGCTACACTGTCTTGATTAAGGATGCAATAGGATAATCGTTTATACGGTTAACCGACAAGCCTGGGCTCATCGATTATCGTGAATGGTTACTCGCAAGCTCCTGCCCTGCTCCCAGGGAGCCGGCTGCCATCCCACGCTGCTGATTTTGATACAGCAATCTGAGGAGGCAGCCAGCTCCCTAAGAGCAGGGCTGGGAAACGGGAGGCAGTACGTGTTGGGGAGCTGGCTGCCTCCCTGCATTGTGGGTGCGTGTAACCGTATAACTGCTGAAATTTTCAGCGGTTCATGGTTACCCAAGCTACGTCTGGACTGCAAGCTTCTTTCAGAAGAAGCTTTTCCAGAAGAGATCTTCTGGAAAAACTTTTCAAAAGAGAGCATCTACACTGCAAAAGTGCAACGAAAAAGTGATGTGCTTTTTCGAAAGCTAGTGTCCGCATTAATTGGACGCTATCTCACATTTCAGTTGCGATTACTGTGGATGGAGTGGCCACCAGGGCACCTATGCTTTTCCCTGGAGGCTTCTTTTTTTGAAAACACACTCCTTTTTGGAAAAAGGCTTCTTCCTCGTAGAAGGAGGTTTACTGCTGTCAGAAAAACCCCTCTGTTCTTTCAACTTTCCGTCAAAAGAACGCAATAGCAGTGTGGACGTAAGTGTAGTTTTTCCAGAAATATTGCTGTTTTTCTGGAAAAACTCTGCAGTGTAGACATACCCACTATTACCCACTTTTTAACATCTTTAGTCTTGATTGATACCGAAGGCTTTCCTGCAGACATCTGACTCTTCTGTGGGTATACAGGCAGTCCCCGGGTTACGTACAAGATAGGGACTGTAGGTTTGTTCTTAAGTTGAATTTGTATGTAAGTCGGAACTGGTACATATTGTAGGGGAAACTCTAGCCAAACATTTCTCCAGAGCTCAGTTTTATTTTCCCACACCTCACTTCCCTCAGTCCTTTATTCTCAAGCTGAGGTGTCTGCTGAGAAAAGCCGCTCCGCGTCTCCCTGGTCTGCTGGTGGGGGGGCGCTAGCTTCGCGTCTCCCTGGTCTGCTGGGGGGAAGCAGCTAGTGCGGGGTTGCCTCACCCCGTTTGTAAGTAGGGATCTGATGTAAGTCGGATCCATGTAACCCGGGGACTGCCTGTATCTGCACAGTGCAAAGGGAAGAGGTGGATGAGCATTACCAAATAATTCATGTTCGATCAGGATAAAGAGAAACAAATGAGGTGGGAACTTTTGCCTGTGTTCATTTTTATGAATATGGTTTTTATTCCATGATCAGATGCCCCGAGTAAATCTAATGATTAGCACTGTTCTTAAACACTTTCGTTCTCAAATTTTACACTTAGCCTCCCACCTCCCCCACTTGTGTTTTTCCACTAATAGATCTGGGTTTTCATTTTTCTTTTCCTACTTTGCATTTATTTTATAAGGCTCCAATCCAGGAAGACACCTAACCACCATGCATGCATGCCAGGCATGCATATGCTTAATGCTTTGCTGGGCTGGGATCCAGATCTGCTGTGCAAAAAAATGTTTCAGCCAAGGTGTGGCTCCTAGACTGAGCCATGGAGATGCAGTTTTTCAGTAACTGTTGTTGAGGCTTTGAGCTGTATGGCTGAGAAACCAAGCCATATGGCATTGCACTTTGCTTGGGTAGCTGTAATTTAGAAATAGGAGGAAAAGGCCTACTAAGCTTTGGGCACAGCTAAGCAGAACTAGCCTCTGGTGCACATACTGGTAGGCTGCTGGAAGAATTCTTCCAACAACTTGGCTACCCACTGCTTAGGGAGGTGGATTACCTAGATCCAGTGATGGGCAACCTGCAATCTGAGGGCCATATATGACCCATCTGGGTTCTGTGTGTAGCCCATGAGACATTTGGTTTATTCTTGTCCACCAACAATGTTGCCAGATTCTGCTGGTTCCCACCGTGTTGTTTTCTTCCTGCCAGTATCACTAACGTGACACACCCGTGAAAGCAAGAGCAACGGGAAGTGAGGTGCGTGCTGATTGCATGCAACATCGAGAGCCGCACACTCCCTCTGCAGCCAATCAAAATACTGCTATGGTTCCGTCAGGCCACCTTGCAAATTCTAGGTATGCAAGCTAAGTTAGCAAAACTACCCTGTCCCGGAAAGCCCTGTGTTTCAGGGGAATGGTTGCTTCCCCACCCCGAAGTATCCAGGGGACCATCCATAGGGCAGATTTATTGCTTGAGCTGCACAGGGACTCCCCTCTGCAGCTTGGAGATTTCCAGTCCAGCCTACCCCTGTGGACTTCCCAGCCCACAGCCCAGATGTTCCAACCTCAAGTTGTCCCTTTTTGAGGTCTCTGTAGATGTGACGCATCTCACTTTGTGCTGCTGGCATTCATAATGATCAGGGCTTTGCATTGATAGAACACCTTTTATCTGGGACTCTCCGCTGGCAGGCTATTAATTATGCGAGGATGGAAGAGAAAATGCATTAATCCAAGCAGCTTCTGCTCATTGAGATAGCTATTTAAAAGTGTGTAAGCCATGAAACTCATTCTTGGCGCTTTCAGCTCTGCTTGTTTGTGCTGCTGGCATTCATAATGATCAGGGCTTTGCATTGATAGAACACCTTTTATCTGGGACTCTCCGCTGGCAGGCTATTAATTATGCGAGGATGGAAGAGAAAATGCATTAATCCAAGCAGCTTCTGCTCATTGAGATAGCTATTTAAAAGTGTGTAAGCCATGAAACTCATTCTTGGCGCTTTCAGCTCTGCTTGGCCTCTCTAAATGCGATACCTGTCCAAACAGGCAAGTCTGTTCCCTGGGCTTCCTCGGCCATTTACACAGGTGGTTCTCATTACTGCTGAGCGTAGGGTTGCCACCCCTCCAGCTTTTGCTGGGACTTTCC